GGTTGAGCTCAGCGCCTCACCAGGCCTCCGCCATTTTGTCCGCTCCCTCACGACACCTCTGACAGTGGTGATGGTGCTGCCGTCACCAGAAGACAAAAAACCCAATACCTTCAGGTAAAAATGTGTGTGCAGGGGAAAAAACACCCCGTGGCTTTTTAATTCTAGCTACCAGCTGTAAATATCAGATGTTTTACATTACCTTTTCCAGGCCTCGTGGTCTCTCTTTGGAAGGAGAAAACACCTTGAGGTTTGAGCTACTGAAGGACTTGGGCTGTTTGCTGATGAGGACAGCAGCGCAGAGCTCGAGGTATTCCTTAATTTGTGATTTTTCCAAGTGTTAAAAGAGGTATGGGGAACTAGGAAGTATAAAAACTGAGCAGTTGTGTGCTACCAACACTGAGCGACTGAAAATGGTGTAAAGTATTCACCATAATAAACACTTTTTGATAAAGGGTAGTTTCTGCAGAAATCGGGAACATGAGGTGTTATTCATCCATCTCAGAAATAACAGAAAACTGGCATTTCTTAAGGTTTCATTTCAGTGGACTCAGTTGAACCAGTTACACCACAAGCTTTCCCAGAGCTGATACGTGAATGATGATTACTCACAAAGAAAGTTTCTGTGACACGAATCTTGGTGAAACGAATGCTTCATTTATAAAGCCTCTCCAAGAATCTTGTAGCACTCGGTGAACTTTCCCATCACTTGGGAAGTGATTTCCATCCCTATTTTACAAAGAAATTACAGATTAAGTTGTTTATTCCTACTGAAAAGTGGGAGTAGGTATTAAATATTTTAACTTTCACAGTAAAACATATGGCACCCTCATTACCTGTCCCATGAATTTACTTCAAGATCCCATTTGGCATAAAGTGCTTTTTTTTCCTAACTGATCCCAGCCTGAATGCTGTCTCAGCTGCTAATTTCTGCCTTGAAGGAACTCACCAGTGGGTGATGCCAGTAACCTAAGGGTCAGAAGTGGCAGAGGGAGGTTGTCTATTTGCTCTTTGTAGGTTGCCCTATACTGTAGATCGTACAGCAGATTAACCATCTGGAAGGTTTTCTGTTTACTCCTTTGAAAGCATAAAAATGCATAGATAACTACCTGATCAGGAGATTCAGTACAAGTACAGAGATCTGTGGTCTGATTCAGTTTTGCCTATAGACTAAAATTGGTCAGATACCAAACAGCTAGTCAGCATGTGTCTGGCTTGGATTTTCTGGAGATCACACTGCAGAAGAACAAAAGAGTTATAATTAAGTGCATTTGACAAAATGACCAAACTTTTTTAAAGTTCTAGCATGGAATTCATAGCAGGTACTGCTCTGCTCCAGCTGTGCAGCAATGTGATACAGAAATGTCACTGGGTTGCACTGAAGAAGTCACACAAAAGCCTCAAAATGCAAAATAAGCCCCCTATAGTTTCCAGACTTTTTCCTACCCTTTTTGGCAGTGCATACAAATGGATTGAAAAGGCTGAAGCAGTGATTTCTAGGACACAAAACTCTTCAGGCTCTTTCATATGACTCATGACTTTCACTCTTCAAGAAAGAAATACTTTTGAAGTGCCAAAAGAACAAGTTCTAGCCTGAGAAAACTCAGGCTGAATTCTGCTTTGGGTCAAGAGGGGATTTAAACTGCAGGGCTTCTCCTACAGGGGCTGTATTGGGGGAAAGAAAAAAAAAAAAAAGAGAAAGATTGAACAGACACGTGCAAAACAAGCAGGTAGGAAATGTAGTACAAAAGGGCTGAAGTTTTTCATGTGGTAAATGCTCTTATCAGCCCAAACTGCACTTTTCTATACCTTCTAAATACTGGTGCATTTACACAGTACATGTACATGTGCACGTTCATCCATGACCAGAGAAGCTCAGACAGTGTGAGTAAAATAGGCAGCAGTAAAAGAAATCTGCAAAAGAGCTCTGCAGAAGTGGTGAAGCAGCTGGAGATGGAAGAACTTGCTGCTCTGCACAGGACACTGAATTCATTCTGATTGCATGTGGTACCAAGCAGTTGCTGAGACACAGAAAATACTAAATGACATTTTTTTTTTATTGCAGACAAAGTGGTTTAGTGCAAGTTTACATTGATAGCTGGTCTGACTGATAAACACAAAACCAATCCACAACAAATCTGCAAGAGAGCTCTGGTGAAGCAGCTGGAGATGGAAGAACTTGCTGCTCTGCACAGGACACTGAATTCATTCTGATTGCATGTGGTACCAAGCAGTTGCTGAGACACAAAAAATACTAAATGACTTTTTTTTTTATTGCAGACAAGTGGTTTAGTGCAAGTTTACATTGATAGCTGGTGTGACTGATAAACACAAAACCAATCCACAACAACAAAATAACCAAGCCCAAAACACAGGGAGCTAATTTCTCCTGTATTATGTTTGGGTTTGTGGTGAAGAAAACTCTTGCCAGAAGATCTTGGGAGATATAATTCAGACTGGGGTAATAGGAAGCTTTGGAGAATCAAGTACTGCTGGCAGTAAGTCTGATCATTGAGAAAAAAGTGGAAACACATTTTCAGCATCCAGCACTTCAGGTTGGAGGAAGAACCTTACTGTCAGTTTGGGACATTCTTCCCCCAGCCTTGACCTCAAACCCAGCAGGAGGAGGAGATAGCCTTGAGGAAATACATTGAGCTTTTAGAGCAATTGGTGCTGATTCTTTTACTTCCTCCCATTTCTATTACTTCTCCTTTCTCCCTGTCACTCCCTATCTCTCTCCCTTTGCACACTTCCATGGGAAGGGCCAGACACTGAGATTTCCCAATTACTTCTTGGGCTTCCCCACCTCACCTCCTTCACCAACTCAATCAGAGACAGAGAGTTACAGGTAATACTGACACAGAACAAAGTTTTAGGTTCAAGACCCAAATGAGAGGAAAGTAAATGGAGATGCACCTCAAAAGACTGTGGGGTGGCTTTGCAGTTATTAGGCACATCTCCTTTTGCCAGTTGTAGCTGGGCTCTCCCTCCTAAACAGTAGCTCTGCCCATGTGCTCGTGACTCCTAGACCTCAGGCCAGCAGGGTTTTGATTTAGTCTCTGCCACAATCTCCCATTATGATTTCAGAGGAATTGCCTAACTTTTTTTCTGCTTGTTTAATGATAAAGTAGATGGATTTCTTTACCCATTGTGGGCATGTGAGATGAGGCTGACAAGGACCTGCCAGGTCTTCATAGACAGTCTTAGATGTAGGTGTCCCTCATACACTGGTCACCCTCAATCTTGAAGGTAGTGAGAAATTTTCCCCTCTTTTTTCTTCTGGAAAGGCTGTTCAGTAGCCTCACTGGCTGGCTGATAAAACATGCTTTCAAAGTCTTGCTCAATTTGATGGTCCACTCAGTTTCTTGGCACTTGTTTTCCCAAATGATCTGAAATCTTCAGACACTTGACACAAGTACACCTACTTGCTTATTACCTAACCAAGCAGTAGGACTTAAATTTCATGGTCTTTCCTGATGTGAGGTTACAGTTAGTGTGCTGAAGCTAACCTGAAAGATGTTCAGGTAGTGCCCCTGCACCCAAGAAGAACCTGGGCTTAGGTGGAAGTGCCTGAATAGTCAGGGTTGGTTAGCACTGCCTGCAAAAACTTCTTATGAACCCCAGCTACACTCTCAGCAGAATGGGAGACCAGGGGGGTTGTGATTTTTTAAGTCAATACAAACAGGAAACTTAAGGAAGTGTAACAACCAACTTTTTTTTTTTATTAGAGTGGCCAAGCCAGTCAGGAGGAATTAATTTTCAGGATTTGGCTACAGAAGAGCTCTACAATCTCATTGCCTTCCCCGTGCCCGGCTGCGGGTAGTTTTTTCGGGGCAGACTTCAGCAGACGCTTTCCATCCGTTGGTCTTTGAAGCTGGGTTCCCTCTAGTGGCATGAAGAGGAGCATCGATTCTGTCTTATTGACTGATCTTGGTCCGTAGTAGGGGCAGGAGGAAAGAGGACACTGCAGGGTGTTACCAACTCACATCAGTAAACACTGGCTTGTGTTCATCTGGCTAGTAGCCTAGGACTTTTGTGTACCACAGGTTCTTTATTTTTTCCATCATCTGTTCAGCCAGTATACTGAGTTTGGTTGTTTCTCTGATGAGGAAGTTCCTGCAGATGACAGTGGACATGGTAAAACACACAAATACATGAGGGTAATTTCCACTGGTTGTAGCTATCACACTGACTGTTACTGAGAGTGCAAAGCTCCTCATGAGTCCTCGAGGTGTTTTCCTCAGAAGACAGGAGCAAGCAGGATGTGTTTGCCATGAGTAACATGGAGCTGGACCTCTAGGGTCATCACGCTTTTCCCTTTGAGAGGGAACTCTGTGATTTGTGTTGAGTGACATCAGGGTCTCCTGGCACCTCCAGTGCTCAGCCCCTCTCAGACAGCACCCTTCCAGGGGGCTGATCCCCCACCAGCCAGTGGCTCCCCTCTTCCCTTGCTCCCCAATCCCTGTGACCATCGTTGTGTTCAGTGTGCAGCCCTGTGAAGAGCTTCCATGCTCATATTGTCCCACCTCACCTTTCAGCACCCTGCTCCTCTCTGGATCCTGTTCCCATTGGGTATCCCCATGGAGATACCTGATTCATCTGCTCTCTCCCACTCCTCCCTCTCCCTTTTCACCCGTGGCTGTCGCAGCGTTAGCACAGAGGAGCTTTCCATACCTGGTTGTAACAACTGCTGGAGTCTGGGCAACATCCACCAAGAACTGAGCAGCTTTAGGGGACACCTTGTTCACAGCTTCATAGATGTAAGCTGCAACTGCATCAGGGATGACCAACCAGTCACGACGGTCTTTCTCAAAGAGGGACTTTGAGTGCACTTCTGAGAAAGAGGAGACAAAACCATGTGAGGCTTCTCCTCTTAATTTTTGTCCCTGATACCTTCCCCCAGCTGCAGTGGGAAGAGATTTGGAATTCTGAGATTCAGAGCCTCCCCCAGAGTTCACTCTTGCAGCATCCAGCAGCACCTCATCACTCATTTTTGGGTATCTAGGTCCTAGGCTTACATGGCAGAGTATTTGCAGCAGGCACAGACAATTTTCATACTGACATGTCTCATGTTTCCAAGCACTATATATCTCTCCATGGTCTTGAACTGTGTTATTTAGCTCCTGCTTTGGGGATGGGTCAGCCTTCTCTAAGGGAAGTGAGAACCTGTAGAGCTGAACCTTGTCTCAGGCAGATGGAAAAGCTTTTCAGACTTACCTGGGAGAGTGGTGCCAAGGAGAAGAATCAGAGCTAACACCAGTGCCCTGGACTGCAGCATGGTTTGCAGCACCAGTTCTGCTCTCTGCACCAAAAGACCTGCTGGAATCACCACACAATGTTTTTTTAGTTTTCAGGGGAATAAAACATGTCAGTTAAAATACCAGATTTTTGCACCAAACCTAGCCAATAAATGAAGAACAGGAAAGATCATGGTGCATTTCCTCTGAAGACATGAGGAGCAGATAGGATAAATTGGAAGTGTCCTCTTATTTGTATGATCACAGATATCCACCATGAATGACAGCTTTTAGAGCTCCAAGAAATATGTGACAGTTAAAGCTACTTCATGTATATGATGATTATCTTAGTGACTCAGTGATGTATTTTGCTCTAGCTGAGGAAAGACCCAACTACTTAACTCAGTTTCCTTCTTGTCTTCTCCACCCTGGAATTAATGAAAGAGAAAGTAGCTCAGGCAGAACCAGTTCTCCAAAGGGAGTAAGTGCAAACTTTTTTAATAGCTAAAGGAGGTTGGATGAAGCTAAAGTCAGAATTGGAGGAAATCTTGAAAATTTGATACTTGTTATGTTGAAAAGATGTTACATCTAAACAAGCTTTTCAAACATGCTGCACTTAAGAAAAAAAGGTGTTTGGAAGTTAAAAGTTGATTTAAGCCCTGAAGGAGAGGGCTGCAGCACTCCAGAGCAATGTGAAGAAGACTTTGCAGTGTTAGGAATTGCAATGGCAAAAAAAAAGGGCTCCAAGTCTCTTGCATGTGAATGCTTTTCTAAATCCTGTGCCAGGTAGCTACAAGTCAATGTTCCTTCTTATCCCACAGGGAGGAAATTTCCATCCATTTTCATTTCCTTCTGTGCACAAATTAACTCTAGAAGCTATGACTTCATTCACTAGACATTACTGACCAGCAGCAGTTGCTCTGTTGCCACCTTTCCTTGATTGCTAATCCTAGAGCCAGTTTCTCCCTCTGTAGATACAAGGTCTCAAGAACATAAGGATGTGATCTTACACACTTTAGAGCCTGCAGTCCCTGTGGTGAAGGCAGCTGAGAAAAGGTCCCACACTGAAACTCTGCAATCCCTACCACGGGCTTGACCCTCCTGTGAGTGTCTTATGGAGCATCCATCACTCAGCTCCACTTCAGGCCACCTCAGGCATTCCTGCCCTCCTCCATTTCATCTGTATTCCTGGCTGTAGAGTGTGAAAAGGGCTCACACTTTGGCTTGCAATAAGAAGTGGGACAAAACAATACAACCTCCCCTCACTTCTCTATGGTTTAGATACACCAATCACAAATCCATACCACCCAGAACATCAAGTTCAGCTCTTACCTGCCCTGTTTTCTCTCTCTTTCTCAGGCTGAAGCTGAGGTAGATGCTCATCTGAGACCCTGGCATTTATGCAGAGCTAATATAGTGATACCAAGGGGTCAAAGGTCCTGCTTTGTTTCCCCATTTGCTCTTTTGCAAGAATATCCAGCTCAATGGGACAGGCAAGAAGCTGTGAAGGACTCTGGACCTGTTATTGAGATTTGGTGGAGGGTCAGTCTGACCTGAGCCTAAGAGACAGGGAAGGCAGCTGCTAGGTCACTGAGTCCCCTACTTTTGCAGACAACCATGTCATACAGGCCCCTTTCATAAGCTGACCAAGTTCCACATTAACAGTAGGTAGATCTGGGCTGAGTTCTGCTCCTACTGTTCCTGTAGCCTGCTGTGCTGTAACCCCCATGCTCTCACAGCTGGAGCTTACTTGCAGCTCCTATGCCCATTGGTATTATACCCTCCATTTCCAAATTCTGCTCCCACTGTTCCTGTGGGAAGGCCTGCTGTGCTGTAACCCCCCTGCTCTCACAGCTGGAGCTTACTTGCAGCTCCTATGCCCATTGGTATTATACCCTCCATTTCCAAACAACTCATTAACCAAATTAACCCAGGGGTAGGTCTGCACCCCTCTCACATTGTCTTTCCTCATGCCCAAGTCTTATTGCTCAGGCTGACAAGGTGGGCTTACATCTGAGCCAGCTGTCAAAACTTACCCAGAGGAAACATCCAGCTCCCAGGAGCCCCAAAAAAGACATGGACCCATTAAATTGGTTCCAGAAGGCCACAAAAATAATCAGATGGCTGGAACACTTCTCCTATGAAGAAAGGCTGAGAGAGTTGAGTTGTTCACTGTGGAGAGGAGAATCACAGAATGGCAGGGGCTTCAGGGGACCTCTGGAGATCATCTAGTCTCCAGGGAGACCTTATTACTGCCTTTCAGTACTTACAGGGGGCTTATAAGAAAAACCAAGACTTTTTACTGAGGCCTGTAGTAGACAGTACAAGGGGGAACAGTTTTAAAGTGAAAGAGGGTTGATTTATATACAAGGAAGAATTCTTTTTGATGAGGATGGTGAGACACTGAATCTGTTTGCCCAGAGAAGTTGTGGCCACTCTATCATTGGAAGTGTTCAAGGTCAGGATGGATGGGACTATGAGCAACCTTATCTAGTGAAAGATGTCCCTGCCCAAGGCAGGGGCAGGGTGGATGAAAGGACCTTTAAAGGCCCCTTCCAACCTAAGCCATTCTATGATTCTCTGGTAACTTCTGCCCAGGCTCCCTGAGGACCTGGTCCCAGCCAGAAGGTGGCTGCATTGCCACTGCAGGGTGTGTTTTCCTACAGCTCAAGTTCCAAGTGCCCACTGGCTCTTCACTCAGGCCAACCATCCATATTTGGCACATGCAGCCACTGATCAGCAGAGGGGAGAGACAGAAAGGTGGCAACAATGACCTACACAGGTCATTAGCTGAGGGGAAAGAGGAGGATGTGACACATAAATTAAGCCTACTGTGTGAGATCCAACAGACCTCTGTTCTTATGTCAGCCACTTATCTATTAGGTGACTGTCACACGTGGAAAGTGTGAAAGCTCAACCAGTACCTTTGTTTGCCAACCAACCAAAATTTCTAGAACTTTCCTTGTCTTGGATCTCAAAGTACTTCAGAAGCAAGCAGTAAGTGTTTCTGTTTTACAGATGTGGCAGCCAAGCCAACAATTGCTACAGTGGGCCACATCAGTAAAGAGGGCTGTCAATGGTTCCCCAGACATTTTTCCACTCTCCTGGTGAGTATTTATCCAAATTATCTTCTCTCTAAGAAAAACAAAGAAAAAAAGTCTCCCAAAATAAGAATGAAAAAACAAATCCCTCATACAAGCAAACTATTTTGCATTTTTTGTTCAAAAAAATAACAGAAAATTCCCACTATCCTATAACACTTTGCATTTTTTTGTTCAAAAAAATAACAACAGAAAATTCCCACTATCCTATAACATTGTTAATTCCAGAAGTAAGAACAGAGAATTTTCAGTTCCACTTCTGGTGCAAACAATAAAAAGCCATTTATGGTCTAGGAAGAACACACAAGACTTGACGTGCTGGAAGGACTCTTATATTTTAATAATACATTTGACAGTCATTAAGAGATTCTACATATTTACCATCTGCTTTTACAGCTGGAATAATATTCAGAAGACCAGCACCAGGCACATGATAGGCATTAAACTTTGCAGAAATAGCAACAAGCAGTCTTTACTTGTGGGGGTTAGTTTAATACAACCTCAAATGTCTTCTCTCTGTTATGTCAGGTGGAGAAGAGGAAGGTTCTAACCATATTAAGTGGGTGCTTTAAACTGATGTGGTTGGAGGTAGTAACAGAGGGGACTTAGCTGCCCTGTGGAGTAACACATACCACTGATGAGCTTTGAGTTGTGGTGCTTATCACAGGAGGTAACTTCTCCCCCCCTAAAGTCAGCCTAACTTTAGCCAGTGCTATCATGAATACAATCCCAGAGATAGCAACTGGGCATTTCAGCACTTTCTGCTGCCAAACAGGCACTTGCCAAGACCAGATCAATGATTGCACAAGCAGCAGCCTCCATTCCTGGAAGGGCATTCTGGAATGGCAGAGCACTCTGCAAATAAGCAAGAAACCCAGATATTGCAAGTCCTTTCTGAATCAAAGGAAAATGACAGGATTTTTTTAATCTCTCTTACCAATCTCTGGTCTGAGGTGGAAAGCAGCTGACAGGAGCAGCACAGGTGGCCCTTCTCTGCCCCATGTGGCATGGTCACTTCCTCATTACAGGATTATTTTAAATTAGGGTAACTCCAGTGGCTTTCTGAGACAGAGAATTCATTCCTGGGGGTAAGGTACATCACTTCAGCTGTGCAATAGGGAGGACAAAAGTCCAGAATGGCAACAACTCCCATACATGAAACACAGTCAGGTTTTTTGGTCACAAATGGGCTGATGTATGAACATCAGCTCTTTGGAATGGCTGCAAAATTAAGCATGAATAAATTGCCAAGCAGAAAGAATAAAGCTAGGCTGTTTCCTACTGTTACTTCTTTCAGTGTGTGGTATTTGAACAGCTCAATTCTCTCTCCCCTTTAAAAATCTGTTATCTTACTGGGGAAAAATGAGTCCACGTAGTATTGTGCAGTGCTGTCATAATGGCTTTCATTTATTTCTATATTTAATTGGCTCTACACATTCAAAGCAGAACTTATTTCCTTCCCACCTTTTGTCTGCTTGCAGTTGTCAAGCATGCATATACAGATCTCCTTTGCCATTATCTCCCAGCCCACTAATTAGCATTTTATGAACCTCAGTGGTCTGTGGACCAGTAAATCTGGCACCATTTCTGCTTCCCTGCTGGACAACCTAATCAACTTCTGTTGCACTTTAAGAAGTTACAGAATTAAGACTGAGATACAATCACTTTTCCATGAAGAGTTTTGTTTAATGTTTCTATAAATGTGAACTAAGTGACTGAAGAGGAGCTCAAGTATGACAAAGATAAAACTCCTCAGACTGCACACAGCACAAACTCTTCACACAATCTATGATTAGTCACCTTATCTCAATTATGGGGACTGCAGGAACAAAAAACATGTTGAAAGCTCCTTCATAGGATTTAGATAACAAACTTGCTGGACACACATTGGCTTATACACACTTGAATGTGAAGGAAAGTGAAATCTTTCCCATCTGGGGATCTCACCTGATGTCTTCTTGATGAAGAAAG